TTTTGAGGATTTGTCTAAGGAAGACAGTGATGTCAATCCTGGAGATCGGATAGAATTGACAAAGATGGACCAGGGCCCATGGCTGTCAAGGGCAAGGGCAATCCCATTCTGCCACCAGTCTTCACTCCAGGACACAGCTCTGTCACCAGGTTTCTGTGTCCTTGTAAGCTGTTTTTGATATTACGTGATACAGAGTACTGAAAAGCTCCCCCTAGCTGCCTACTGAGTAGCAAGATAAATATTCACAGTTTATGTAGTATCAAAGTATCAAATTTCTGTTTCCGCAGAAAATGTAATCCTAGTTGCTGATGTGCAAATGCAATCATTTTCAGATTTAAAGTTCTCTCATTCCATGGTATGTCTATTTCCTATCCATCACTAAGTGTTTGCTGTGTCTTACAGAATCTAGATGCAAAGTAAAGCCATGCTGCCCCCTACTGTTCAGCTCTCTCTTTAGTAGAGTACGCATCTACCATCCAGTCTTCATCTTGACCTGCAATTCCCACCAGCCCTAGAACATAGAGGTGCTGCAGCATCATTTTCTTCTGTGCAGAATGGGTGCAGTGGTGTAGAGCCCATGAGAATACACCCAGCAGATAGTCTTGTTCAGTCATCCACCTTACCAAATAGACTGTAAGAATTTCAAGTCAACCATCACAAAGTATTGTTTCCCATTTTCTCCGTTGGTGGGTCTAGGAGACCACTGAGTTAAAGACTGACTACTCCGGATGTGGGAAGGGAGTGGGAGGATATATAGGACCAGTGACACTGTGAAGGTAATCCATTTTTTTAATTCTCTCCTTAACACTCTGACACATCTCTAAACTTTGAGGTTGTGATTTCTCTATGACCTCCCCTTTTCTCAAATCCCCTTTCAGAAATGTTTGTGATAAACAACTTTAACAATATATGAACAACTCACAGATTCATAGAGCAGAAATGTACAAGTATTTTAAAGCAAGGAGATTCTGAAATGGATAATCTTTTTTAAGATTCCCAGCATCGGTGAGTGTTACAGGTAATGGTGTTTCAGAGTCAAGGGAGACATTGTTCTCAGTCATGTCCCTGAAATCACCATCTGTGCAGGTGCTTAAAATTAACTTAATTAGCTACTTTTATCATCTCTGTGACCAAATACTCAACAATAATCAACTTAAGGTTTATTCTGACTCTATCCTGCATGGCAGGGGAGCATGGCAGCCTCACCCCGAGACAGGTGGGCACATTTCATCCCAGTCAGTAGGAGGAAGGTTGCAGCTCAGCTCATGTCCCTTTCTTACTCAGCTCAGGGCCATAGATGGTACTGCTCACATTCATGGTGGGGTTGGGGGTCCCTCCTCAGTTAAACCTCTCTAAATTCAGGCCTTCTTAACTATATCTTAACACCCAGTAGCCAACCTTTTCTCACCATTACACACACACACACACACACACACACACACACACACACACACACACACAGATGTGTGTGCCTTCCCTAATTCTCTGGTAACTGTCCTTATTAACTTCCATGACATCACCAATTCTTAGGTCTCTCATACTCTTGAGAGCATGTGGCTCCTGTCTTCCTGCACCTGGCTTGTTTCACTTAACATAATAAGTCACAGTTTTATTCCTGCTCCTGAAAATGACAGGCAGAAGATATCAAAAAGAAGTTACTTTGAATGTTTCACCATAAAGAAATGATAAATTTTTCAGGCAATAGGCTTGCCTAACTTGAAGGTTACACAGTGCATACATATGCCAAGTGTCAACATACATATGTATTAAAACATCACAATGATACAATAAAAAGGGGGGTTACAAGTATAGGTTCATGTTCTTTATCTGTGCTCATATGAAGTATACTTTGCATGCATATTTTATATTCCTTTTAACATGCTATAAATATTATAACATATAGAGATATGATATGCATATTTTAAGTTACACTGCAACTTAATTATTTAAACTACAGTAATGAAGGATATTAAGATACAGTTTACAAATATTTTCTTAAACAGGAAGTCCTGAAGCATTTTAATAATTTATTTCTTTTTGTTTTATGCATATGTCTAAGTGCCAAATACATGCAAAGTGTGCAGAGGCCAGAAGAGGCCCTTGGGTCTTCTGGAGCTGAAGTCACAAAAGGTTGTGATCCGCCACGTAGGTACTGGGAACTGAACCTGGACCTCACGGAAGTGCATCCAGTACTTATTCCCACTGAGTCACCTATCCATCCCTGAGAGGCTTTATTTAATGAAATATCAGAGGCACTAGGACTTGAGGGCCTCAGGTGTTGTAGTTTCAAAGCAACCGCAGCTTGCACGCATGTGACAAACCTGTCCATGTTTCATCCAGCAACATAGGAACCTGGATATTTAAATTGTATATAATTTTATGTGTTCAGAATATTTTCGTGTTTTTGCCCTTTTAAATATGTAAATGCCAGTCAACTTAAGAGATATAAAAGGCAAAGAGGTGAGTCTATTTGATCCTAGATGTAGGCTTCACCCCTCTGGCTTCTTATGGTGACAAGGTTATAAGGTCTTACAACTGGGGTTGAGTGTAGGCATATTACACAGACACAGGTGCCACAGACACAGGAATTAGGCCACAGCATGACTTTTGTTCCCCCAATGACAATGGTGCTCAGGTACCTTTTGCAGTAAGAAAACAAGGGTGAATTTGGATTTCTGCCTTAGCCTCAGATTTCCTCCCACATGACCTCCCTACAGTTTGTAGGATTTTGACATGGGTTTTGGTTCTCTTGGCAAGAAGGGGGAGGGGAGATGCTGAATCTTCACAAGGTATTTGTTTAGCTGACATGGTAGCACCAAGGGTGCTGGTGACAATTGCACAGTAGGGCCAGTTCTTCATGGAAAGACACATCATCAAGAATGCAGGGCCTGGATTCCAATCCCATAGCCATTACTAAACACATGAGTGATGCAAGAGACCACTGTAGGTGTCAGCTTATTTCTTTGTATAAGGAATATATTGGCCTCCCTGTACAGATGAATGGGGGGGGGGCTTCTATGTAACAAACATGGCTTTGCTGAGAAGCTTTGAAATGGGGAAAGCTCTTGACAGGGCTGTGGGGAAAAGAAAGTATTCAAAAGTAAAGGCGAAGCAGAGTGAAACAGCAAATTTGTTCTTTTTCCTTGTGTTTTATAATAATAGACTATTCATGAAAAATTCAATATAGCAATTCTCCCGATGGTTAACATAACAAAAAAGTCTCTACTTTAGCTGATCAATGGAGCTCTGATTTCCTCCCAATTTCTTTAAACAAAAGGAAACAAAACAGAGGGGAAAACATTTTTGTAAAATCTGTGAGTTAAGACTTCGAACTGTAGATGGTGCTGTGATTCTGTTTAAAATGATTTTATGTCCTGTTTAAATTCATAGCCCAAACTCATTCTTTGATTTAGTCTGTTTTCCTCTATAGGTGAGACAATTAAATTCTCTGTATTATCTTGTTTTATTGTGGTTAAGGGAAAAACTGTCTTTATTATTGTGGAAATATATCACAGTTACTCTTCACAAATGCTTCTTAGACCAAGTAGTGAGCAATCGTGATGTCATTTTTCTGCTTATCATTTAGATCGATTCCTCTGTGATCCCTAATCTATTTATTTTGCCTGTGCAGCTTTTAAATGAAATTGTTTTGCTGAGGATTTGGTGACAATGAGCTCAGAATAAAAAATTCCATATGAAAATCATTTTAACCTCTAGTTTGTAACAATTGGTTAAAAAAAAAGGTTTCCTGGAATTAAGCCACAGGAACTCTGGCTTAAGTCAGAGCTGTCAACTGGAAAACAAAATTCCAGACATTTTGAAATTTAATTCATTTAATTTTTCTTGTAACTGGATTAGAAAATATGATTAAGCTTAGCTAGACAACTCTCACTGCATCAGTCAGCTTTGAGTGCTGCAAGGAGATACTAAAACCTTAGAGAAGAAGAAAGTAAAAAAGATGGAGAGCCATATTTCCCCAAGGATAGTACAGAAGGAATGTAATAGAATGCACACACCAGGACTTTTAACAGAAAGAACATTGTCTTTGTTTTCTGTGACACTCTTAGGATAGCTGCATTTTGACTTTATGTCTCAAATGTATGTCAAGCTACTTTGGGTGCAAAATCAAGAAAGAAATTAAGCAGTCATCACAGTACTTTACAAAGTTTTCAAACCATCAGATCTTTTGAAATTATCTTTATGTAAAGTGACCAGGTCAGGGATGTTAAATCCTGAAGTGGAGTGATTTCTGAGGACAGTGTGGGAAACAAAGGGATTCAACATTATGCAAAAATGAGGAGGATACCTTTGAAGAGAAAGAAAAATTCAGAGTGTACAGTCTGATCACTATTTATCCTCGGAACATATAAGATCTGAAAGAAAGCAGTGGAAATTACAGTATTTTATACAAGTCATGGGAGAGTAATAATGCCTTTGCTTAGACAATGGTGTGCAAACTATACCATCTTGACAATGTAATGGAACTTTCTCTGAGGACTAGCTTCAACATAAAGGAAATGTAGTAACAGGAAGATGCAAAATAATTTGTGGTTGCTTTTAAAATTAAAATATGTTCCAAGAAAACATTAATTCTAATGTTCATAAAGATGAAAAGACATTAAGGGAAATGATACTTTGTGAAAAAGGAAGAATTATACTGTAAGCATAGCAAACAAATGTTTTCTGCATTTGTATTTTACAAGAAGTCCTTATTTTCTAAGGATCCCCAGAGGCCCTGGGCTATGACTTTATAATCATCCTCTAATTCGTGACAACTGAGTAAAGATTAAAGCATTGCACATTCAGCTCAGCACTTTATTTTGTTTTTTTTAAGTGCATTTCCTCTATCTTGAACTTGTTTGCTATAAATGTATATAAATCAGGAACGATGACAATTTAATAAGAACTTCAAGACCTGTTCATCCCATGGGATCACCACTGTGACGTCTTTCGGGCAGCCTTCTGATTGCTCAGCCCTAAGCACAAGCCCTATAAAATGAGGGACTTTGGAATGCTGGTCAGGTTGGAGTGCAGAGCCCTAGCTGTCAACAGCCTTCCATTCCAGGGACAGACCGGTGGAGCCTTCTCCCTGCCAGGGCTTCAGGACCCTAGACAGCTCCCACTCTCCCCAAAGATAGTCCTGCCTGAAGGAAACAGCCAAGGGTGAGTAAAATCTTCCATTTCTTCTTTTCCTCTCTGCCTTTGGGACTTTTATATGAGGGCTTTTTAAAAAATCTTCTCTCTTAAAAAGAATTTCACAGTGTTCATCTTTTGCAATAGCAAAATAAAATAATAATGAAAAGCCACTCGAAAAAGGTAGAAATGCCTCAATTTCTTTCATATAAACCCATCTGTTTAGCAGATTCTTATAGTCCTACTTAACCCTTTGTTAAATATTGCCTCTTTAAAAGTGAAGGAAGATGAGTTTGCTTGTGTGTGGAGTTCAATTGTTGCATTTGTTTTTGAGGTTTTCAACTTATGCTTAAAAAGTGTTCTTCTTTCTGTTTCTCGTGTTGATTAGACCTAGAAGGAACTTTCTTCATCATTTACATTTTAAAAGCTGTGAATTTTGTAGTTATCAAGAGACAGAACCCTTAACCACCTGCATGTTAGTTAGAAAGTGTTTAGAAATATGTGTGAATGTATGAAATGCAAGAATCATAGGCTACACACACACACACACACACACACACACTGATTTTCTGGAGAAACTTGTACCAATGCCAAGTGACTCTGAGAGCATTAACTTTCATCCTTGAGTTCATTTTCTTGAACTTTGCCTCAAAGAAGTAAGCTCTCTATGATATTTATAATGAATGCAGGGAAAATAAGAATTTAACTATTATTTGTATTACAAGATTTTTGCCTTAATGATGCAGATCTATACTTTATAGCCATATATGCACATATGAACATGCAAACTTGCCAATGTAACTTACTAGAAATCATTGCATAGGTAGCACTCGAGTTTTAGAGTAATCAGACATTAAAGTTTAAAGGGGGAAAAAACTTTAAAAATTCCTTGAAGCTGCTTCCTTCACCAGAAAAGACACCAGGTTGTATATTAAAACTGTGTTATCAAAACACTGTGTCTGCTAACATTGACTGAGGGTCTGCTGAGGGAAAGACAAAAGGGAACGTAGTTTGTATTCAAATGTCTTAACCCAAGGGGAATCTTTATTTTTAAAAGCAATCTTACAGCAATAAGCTTGATACTTTTCTGAAGATGAAATGACTTTTTCTCAACTCTGCAAGAGCCCTTAGAAGTATTGATAGACCCTCAGAATGTTGCCAAGTGTGGCTGGGAAAGCCAGCATCCCTTCTCTTTCCAGAGGCACCCAGATGGAAGCCAGAAGCAAGTCACAGTTCTTGGCATTCCTGATGCTCTTCAGTGTGCTGTTCTCTCAGTCACTGGCCTGGCCTCTCTTTGGACCACCTTCTGCTGTGAGGTAAGTCTCATTCTGGGAAAGTGCACTCTCGATTCCGAGAGGCAGACATTCCCTCTGTATCTAAATAAGATTTCCCATATGTCATTTTGCAGAGTGATGCTTTTTAAATTACATATTATTTACTTCAATACTTTGACTACAGTGTCACACAGATTCATTCCCAACCAAACTCTAAAGGCCTGTTCTGTGCTCCAGAATTCACCATCAGTACATGGAAGACAGCATCAGTTTTACCCAACAGATAGATCCCATTTCCAAACTAGTGTTAGAAAACAAACAAATTCTTATGCTCTTTTCAGCTCTGGCCAGTTCTGTTTCTGGTAGAAAAATAGCTGTTTACTTTCCAGGTTCACTTAAATTTACATTTAACAAAAATGATTATAAGATTAATGGTTCATTAATGAGATATGCACATGTGAAATTTTGTTGGGCAGAAATAGGTTTAGGAAAAATCACCTTGCCAATGTTAGAGATCATGAGGAGGTATATGTACTAAGCTACAGTCCTCATAGTATTCTATTTGAACCAAAAATTCTTAGTTTTACTGTTTGATATGTTGAAAGTCATGCTTCACATTCATAAAGCACACAACTCAATTGAACTTTGAGCAAAATAATTTACGTTAATAGTCAATTCATACTTGACCTTTCTAATCTACAGAATCACTGTTATCTAAAGGCAAATCACCATTTGGTTATTTGCTCTTTCTCATGCTCAGTGTAATGAATGACTCTCAGCTGTTAATGCTCTCTGAGAAATTGAAAAACATGCTCCCTACTCCCCCCCCCCCCATCATGCTTTGGAAGCTAGAGAGTCCCAGTGCCCAGATCTCAGCAGACGAACAGTATCAGGAATGCTGAAATTCACACTGACTGCTCAACTCCAGGCTATGAATGATTGGTTTTTACTATCTGCTTCATCACCGCCTGGAGATACAAAAGTGCCCAAGAGCTGAAATCTACCCTAATGTTGAACTCTCCCCCCCCACACACACAAACTTCTTTTAATGCAGTACTGGTATCGAAAATACAGATGCATTCATAAGTAGGTTATAGTCTATATGTCATAAAGGTAATTCTTATTTTGTAGCACAGCATAACACACTTCTAATCAGAATGTGCCAACATGTTTTATATGAGGAACTAGAGAGGCTCATTAAATTTGCTATATCTCACAAGTGTGGAGATCTTTAGCTGTGATCAATAAGAAGGAGGAATATATCTTGCTGACGTAAAGCTTTGTGGTACACGTCAGAGAACCAGAGAGAGGAAAGCAGACTGTACTGGTCCTGAATTTGAGCAATTGGTACTCACTATCACCACTTATATGAATAAGTATCAGTTTTCATGTTGAATACTCACTTTTTGTATGTTTATATCTTATATAAAACTTTCTACCTGTTAATGCTACTTCAACAAATGGACATAGATACACTGATGCAATGTGCTTTGCTTACAGCTTCACTAGAATTGAATTAAGTAGAAATTATGTTTGGTTTAAAAAGCTTATCGGAGTTGAATGACATCATTTTTGTGAGCTCACACAAAAATGCTATTTACATCTTCATTACACATGGAAGCTATGGAGTCAAGTTATCCTATTCTTTTCTTGCAAATGGATATGCCCCAATATTTTTTCTCCTATCTCAAATAGTTGCAGGACCATAAACACCACTTTCTTTTTTCTTTCTTTTCTTTTTTTCTTTTCGAGACAGGGAGGCTGTCCTGGAACTCACTCTGTAGACCAGGCTGGCCTTGAACTTACAGAGATCCACCTGCCTCTGCCTCCCGAGTGCTGGGATTAAAGGCATGCACCACCAACGCCCATCTTAAACACCACTTTCTAAGAAAGGACAGCATTGCATTTCTGGTGTGTTTTACCTTAACAGGTTGGATGACAGGGTGCAGTATGAAGGAGCAAGTGACCCTGACCAAGTCTCATTAAAAGCAGACACTGACATCTGGCAGAACGCCCTAGCAGAAAATGACACACCCTATTACGATGTATCCAGGTAAGTCAACTTGTATTTACCTCTTTAGGAAACTCATGTGAAAAGATTAGTCTATAGTTTTATCTTACCAAGGGACAGCTTTCCATGACTCTGCTCAGCCTGATTGACATAAGTTACCTTACAGTCTTCAGGCATCATTCAATAGCTCAGATTAGACAAATGCCAGGTCAAACTGTAGTAGTTAGGATTCCATGAGGGAACAGATAAAAGGGTCAAGATATATAACAGTGCTGTTCACTCAAGAAACTTCCTGTCTAGAGTAGTGTTTCAGAACAGACCAAATGATGTCATGCTGAAGACAAAGTAAAAAAGAGGTTCCTCGGGTGCTTACAAGGTTCACTGGTAGACCCAAGATCTGCTCTATTGCAAGAGATTTGCTCCCCCATTATTTTTGGTAGCAAAGAATAATTAAAACACAGAACACTGGTGATTTTGACCAAATTAATGCTTTTTTTTCATCGCATGTATTTTTATTTAAAAACTCCATAAAATATAGAAACTATAAATGAATTTTAAGACAATATTTATTAGGAAAATTCATTTAAACATCCTGTCAGGGAATAAAAATGAAGCACATGTCTAAAATAGCTCATTTTTTCAAGGTAGGTTAGAAGCTTACAGTTTATACTTTACTCCAAGTGACTAGGTTTCCCTTTGCTATAGTGCTAGACTTCATTTTTGACTTAAGTTTTAGTGAGCAGTTCTGTAAGTAGCTTTCAGATTTCCTTGATAACTCTGCAGGAGACTTTACCAAGCAATCACTGTGTTCGCTTCCCTGCTTTAGAAATCCCAGGCACGCTGATGGAGTTTTCACCAGCGACTACAGTAGACTTCTGGGTCAGATTTCTGCCAAAAAATACCTTGAGTCACTCATTGGAAAACGAATCAGGTAAAGAGTACTTATTTTCTTTTTAATAAATGCTCCATCTCCAAATTCTGGGTTTTTTCCCCTTGGATGTTATTTTCCTTGCCCAAGGCTGAAACTCGTTGAAATTGTTCAATTTATATGGAGAAAATAATGTATGTTATTAAATAAAACAGCCTCCCCAACCCCCAGTGATATAAAGTTTTTGGTACTTATTGACTCTAAATATATTTTTCTTAAGTAGCATATTTACAAATGAGTCAAACTGAGCTAAATGCAGTAGAAAAATATCCAGAGCATTGATGCATCTCCCACTTTCTATTGACATCTTTACTTTCATATTTTCTCACTTTTTTTAGCAGTAACATCTCAGAAGACCCAGTGCCAATCAAACGACACTCGGATGCAGTCTTCACGGATAACTACACCCGCCTTCGAAAGCAAATGGCTGTAAAGAAATACTTGAATTCCATTCTGAATGGGAAGAGGAGGTAAGGGAAAAGATAACCCGATGAAGTGAAAATATGAAAATGGCCTTCAAACTTCAAGCTCTACATGGAGACATCTCACTTTCTCCATCACACTCTCAGCTTTGTGTGAACGGCTCGCTCATTCTCAACTCGGACTGATGTCAGACTTCCCTGGCAAACCTTTAAAACATGGACACATGAATGTTAGCCCACAGCCATTAGGAAGCAGTCTCCCTAGGAATACTAAACTGGAAACTCTATTTGAATTTACACACCAGCGGGGTTGAAAATGATGGCTATTTTGTCGTCGGGGGCAGTTTAACCAAGTGGTCACTTTTAAAACATGGAAAGTGCAATTAACAATTTTGGCAAGCAGGAGTACCCTATCATATTTGTATCCAACAACCCCGCTTTATCAGTTTATCATGATGTATCTGTGTGTTCCAGTTCTGAAAGCATGTGTCTCTACAGTGTATAAATATTGGACTCAGTGGTAAGGAGTAGAGTGCTCTCTCTTCTCATTCCAGTTCTTTTTGTGCACATGGTGAGTTAAGCATAATTCTGTTCAGGTGAAATTATACAAGAGTATCTTCTTTGCCCAATTAATAATAATTCCATAAGGCTGACTTGAGACACTAAGGTCTTGGAACAATTCACAGGCAATCACTAGCTGCAGAGATCAGTGTTTATCCCCAGTGTGCCTTGCAGAGCCTAGATAATTACACAGGCATGGGGTTATAATTGTTTCTTTGGAACCTTCCTCCGAGGAGAATTTTAACACATTCATTTTCCTTCTGTTCTGTAGCAGTGAGGGAGACTCTCCAGACTTCCCTGAAGAGCTAGAAATCTGATGACTAGGCTCCTCTGAGCAGAACTGAAGATCAGAGGTGAGTGCGCCTACGGATTCTTATGGTATCCTCACAGCTACCTTGAGGAATAGATGCAGGAAGGAGCCAGTAGGCAAAAACATCCTAGGGCTAAAAGTCCTTCTACCAAGAGATAACACCTCTACTTGAGGAAGATCCCACCCCAGTGAACACCTTGAGGTGCACATGCGCCGCTCTCATCATGACGGGGACATTTGGTTTGCAAGGTACTAATTGTCTAGTCGCCTTTCTCCCGCATGTGCCGAGGTGGAAACACACAGGATCCTGACTCACACTCAGTGGTAGAGCACTTGCCTTGCCTGCCCAAAAGCCTTGGATTCCAGGCCCAACACCAAAAGAAATAATATTGTTTTATATGGTGAATATTTTTCTGTCACATAAAGAAAGTGGCAGACACCAAGATATAAAGGCAGATCCCGTTATAGGTCATTTATGGGAGCCCATCATTATTATGGGAGGCGGCTTTGATCAAGTGCTGCAGGTCCTCCCGCCGGCAGCTGACCTGTGAAAATTACAAATACTTCACTATTAATGACTAAGTAGAGAGCATCTTCACCCTCCAGTTCCTTTGTGACTGTCAGTGTTCTGGAAAGTTCTTTCTTGACTCTGTCAGGCACAGTGTCAGCAGAGACTGTTGACGAGGGGCAGAAGGAGACACGAAAGTTTACAAAATGAGTGAATGGAACCAACATGGTACATGTTTTTTAAATCGTTTCTGTTTAAAGCTCTAATTCCTCTTCTTTTCAGAATCCTTGAAGGAGAACAGCCGAGTGGTTACATTATAAGTTCTACATATCTCATTCAAGAAAACAGCTTCCATAGAAAAACCAAATAAAGTGTGTTGTGAATATTGTGGTTTCCTTTATGTAACAACTGTGATGTTTACATTGTAAATATTATTTGAGCACTCTAAAATTCGTCCTTAGCTCATAAAAGGCTTGTAATTTCATATGCTATATATTCTTTCTAAGAAAAATATATTTAATGATAAGCGGACTCTAGATTAATTGCAATTATTTGAAGCTTTCCACAAGGGTAGCAATAGAGGAAAATTGATGTGTTTATTTATAGCATGTCCTTAACTATTCAAAAGCACAGAACAGATAATCAGTGTGACTACGTCTGAATGTTAAGCAGAGAGGCTGCTGTGTGAAATAAAGCAAAATATCTAAGGGGAATAACAAAAAGGAGTATTTAAGGAAAGACACCTATAAAAAGGAATTTCACAATTGTATTTCTACAGTGATAGGGACTCTATTTCTCATGGATTAGGCCCTCCGACCAGGATTTGCAGTCCCTAAAAGCTTCTTCGGATCTGCTTCAGTTAAGAAAAGCCCAGCTTCAGATATGGAAGTTCTCCTTTCTGCTTGTCTTGTGGATGTATAAATTAGAAGCTGAATGGAATACTTGATTTCCAGTGATAAATACTCTGTCCATAGTCACTCACAATACTATTTTGTCTTGTTGGCTTCCTTTGCTGAAAGTACATTTGTAGACACAACTATTTTTCCAATGTGATTGTATGAAACTAAAGACAGGAATAAAGATCTTTGGTTATCATTGCAAATGTGTTTTCTTGTTCTGATTCTTTGAAGGATACAATGGTACCTATCCTTATCTCTATACCTGCAGGTTTGGAGCTGTTTGTTTGTTTGGTTGTTTGTTTTTCTGTGATGCTTGAAGTGGCATTACATTTGTGAATCCTAAATTAATTGCTATTTAAATAAGAGAGGGATTTCTGTTTTGCATAAGGTCAGAGATAAAATAAATGGGAAAGCATTGGATCTCTGTTCCAAGCATGAGGGTTCCCTTGAGGCCTGTTTTCTATACTAACATTCCTTCCACATGGCTCTTAGTCTTAAACAGTCATTTGCAGGGAAGGCTGGAAAATGTGGCTGTTTCCCTTAGGGGGGCATGCACCCAACTATAAACGTGGGAGTCTAGTCACATAAAATAGTGAAAGAACAGATGAATAAGTGTGATGGCTTTTAAACTCTTAGCTTCTCACCCTAAAGCCTTAAATGATACAAAGAAGGTGAGACTCAAAATCTAACCATCAATGAAATAGTGTTTAATAAAAACACAGGGGGAAATTTTCTTGGTTCATTATCAGTTACATTTACAATGGAGGGCCTCGTCCAGGATTCTCAGTGATTATAAAATAGTTCACGTGAGTGAAAATGAGTTGTACTTACTCTACCTGATCCCACAATTTGGCTATGTTAATGGAACCTCAGAATGGAAACAGAAAACTAACACATGTTATCAGGATACAAGGACCTTTTAAAGATCAGATGGGACTTAATTTGGAAGTAAAGCTAAAGAGTTTTAATTCTGTCTTACTTATGTGAACCTTTACAATGTATTCCCTACCTGGTCAGTACCTGCATAGCTATGATGCTCCATGTACACATAGAAAGAGGGTTCTGAGCAGAAGGGACAGTGAGTGGTAATGAGGAATATCCATCACCATGCAGCACAAGAGATCATGTGTCCAGAATAGTGAGAAGTGGAAACCAAGTATGAGTTTTGACTAAAGAGGTGATGCAGACGTGACTAAAATATTTTAAAAGTGAATTCAATTTTACTATATGGTGGCATATTGAAGTATTAATAGATATATTAGCATTTTATAAGCCAAAGATTAAATTTGCCATGCCATTGTGTTATTCAGAACAACAATTTCTGGAAATGGCCAATGCCTTAATGCCTAGAACCTGTGAATGAATATGTTGCTTTGATGTGGCATGTGACCAACTCAGATCAGTAGGGGGGGATCATCCCAGGCTATTTAAGTAGTCTGGTATAGTAACACGGGTCCATGAAGGACAGATGAGGAAGGCAGTAAGGAACTATGACAATATGACAGAGACTGGTATAGCATGAATGTGTGACGTAGACTGAAGTCTATTTCAATACAGGAGCTGAAGAAAGCAAGGAGAATACTCTTCCCAAGATCCTCTAGGAGGGTTACAGCCCTACTGGTGCCTTGGTATTAGCCACATGACACTAATGCTCAGACTTCTGATCACCAGAGAGGTATAATAATAAGCATCTGTTGCTCTAATCTCCCCAGTCTGTGGTAGCTTATCTTTGAAGCAGCAAGAATTGATACAATCATCATCCCCAAGTCACAGCAGAATTTGAATCGAGTGTCCACTACATTACAGAAGAATAATTTACCAGAATTAAATAGTCCTTGCAGCCATGGTAGTACCCAAGAAAACATGAAGCATCAAAACATTAAGGAATTTGCTTGGACATTTCTTCAGTTGTATAAATGAACATGAATTTATTGACATTTGAGGAAGGTTACACCTAATCTAAAAAAAAATGCTTGAGTGTTATTTGATCCTAGGGATGTATGCTTAGTTCAACATATGCTTAATGGCAAATGTAATATACTATAAGTAGAACTAAGGACAGAAACAACATGGTCATCTCAGCAGACACAGAAGACGCATCGGACATAGTCCCCTATACCCTCATGACAAAAGTCTTACAGAAAATTTGGAATGAAGAAACAGCCGGTGGCAATATAAAACAATGGAGTTTTGTTCAGCTGCAAAGAAAAATGAAATGACAAAATGTTCAGGAAAGCGTACTAAACAGGAGATTATTATCTTTAGTTAAGTAAGCCAAGCTGAGAAAGATAAATATACATGTTTTCTATCAAGTATGCATTCTACATTTTAAGAATGTGTGTGCATATCTGTGTCTGTATGTCTGTGTATGTATCTGCCATGTGTATTTCTGTGGTGTGTGTGTGTGAGAGAGAGAATGAATGAATGAGAGAGAGACAGAGAGAGACAGAAAGAGAGAGAGAGAGAGAGAGAGAGAGAGAGAGAGAGAGAGAGAGAGAGAGAGAGAGATGAAACTAGAAAAGAACTCATGAGAGATGTGAAAGAGATGTTGACAGGAGTCAGGTGGGGAGAAGGAGGATTTGTGCCATGAAGGCCAAAGCTGATTGAGAGAAAAGTGAAGCTAGAGGTAGGACCAGGAGGAAAAGTCAGGAAAGTGGGAGAAGGCTCACCCAAAACTAAGAGTGCATGCCATGTGAAATCCATTCTTCATCTGCTTATTTTAAAAGCTAATACAATGAAAACACTATACTATACAGAAAGAAGAAAGATGAGATTCCAACCAGGCTTCCTACTTACTCCATCTTTGCTTTTCCTCCATTTTCTTGATTATTTATCAAGCAGACCTAAGTTGGGGGTGGAAGGTGCCACTGTAAACACTGAAATGGGTTAGGACAGGCAAGGATTCCCCAACATTTGAGGAAAACCTGATGAAAGAGAGATCAAAAGTTGGTTTTAATGAATATAGAGAAAAGGGGATGCCAGAGTGCAAAAGACAAAAATCTCAGAGATATTTAAGAAAATAGTGCAGGTACAGTGCAGAAATCATATGCAGAGAAAAGGAGCAGGCCTCTAGACTTCGCAAACGGCCCAAGTCAGAGTAAAACTCTGTAGAGCTCGGGGTAGAACAGTGTGCAAGATCCTGCTTCTAGCCAGCACCACAGAAAACAGACTCAATAAATAAGTAAAATCTAATAAAAGGTCTGTCAAGCAAATAACCTAAAACACTGGACATGAATCACAGGTTAAAACATTGGTTGTAGAAAATGAATGGAAATCTCGTGTCTGGTAAATAGAGGCTTCAGAAAAAGAGGATGAAGCAAAGGAAAAGAGAAAATAAATAGCACACAAGTAATGTTCACTTCCTCTGGGTTGCATTTTGTATGAGGCCTGGCACATTCCTTCTCCATCTGTGAATCAGCGCACGCACTGTATGAGAGCAGCGGCTCCTTGATGTCTATTGGTTTGTTGCATTTGTCAGTTTCAGAAGACATGCTTTGGTGAAGGGCATTAACTTCCTTAGTACCTAGTTATTAGTGTGGTAAACTTATTCCTCAAATGTTTATAGACACCTTGACTTTGACTATATACATATGTATATGTATATTATTTTGGGGGTGGCATGTTTAAAAGCTTTTAGCTTTTCCATATTTCTATAATAATTAAAGTGACTTGATCCATTCTAGTTAACAAGGTTCTGATTTTTCTGCTATTAGTTTTTTACATTAATATACAGTAGATTACTACAAACGCTATTACATGCCACATCAATGTTAATACCAACACGCACTATTCTGAACAGGGAAACAAAATTTCTGCCTTGCAGAACAGATAAAAGATGGAGCCTAAGAATTGTATAATCATATCCATGAATTACTAAGAACCTTGGACCTGCACATTCCACTGCATCTCATATTAGAAGAAATTATACCCATTTCCTTATTTGCCTATTACGTATTTGGTGAAGCCCACTCAAACAGTCTGTCTGGCTCACCAATAGCAGTGGCAGTTGTTTTCAAAAGCAGAAAGAGGGAAGAACACATTACAGGCACCTGCCTTTGCACAGTCCTCTGCTGCCAGTTTCTCTTCCCGATTATTAGGAGACCATTTCCTTGGTGCCTCTCTTTCTCCTGTGTAATTGTAAATCCACAACAAGAACATCTCTTTTCATAAGTTAGTTTCTCTCATTTCCCCCCACACGATTATGCTTTTTCTGCTTCTCTTCCTTGGATACTTGCCCTGGTTTCATAACGTTTCTTTTGCATTCTCTTTTCTCCCCTCTGCAAGGTTATGGGTTCATTCATTTGAGTTCCTTGTTCTAAGATATGCCTACCTAAAAGTCAACCTCATTTGTTTCATTGTCAGGATATGAGTATAGATCTCTCAGATTTCTTTTTGTCTGTTAGGCTTCTCTCCCCGTTCAGCCCATGACACTAGGGATGTATTTAACTATTTATGCTGTATCTAACTGTCCACTAAGAGTTACAGACTCTGAACTAGGAGCTACTCCTCCTTATAAGTTTATAATTGACCACTAATGAAATAATTGTCATGTTCTTGCTTTTTCCCTTCAAAGATATCTCCCCTGCTGTTGTATTTATACATATTAAGAAATTCTAATTGTGCCTTTATACAGTTGGACAGATATTGATGATGGAATAGAGATTAGTAGTAACAAACATGTAAAGAGAAAGCAAAGAGAACAAGGGAGAGAAAGAATAACAAGAGGAGACAGCGTGTGTGTGTGTGCGTGTGCGTGTGTGCGCGTGTGTGTGCGTGTGTGTGTGCGTGTGTGTGCGCGCGTGTGCGTGTGTGTGCGTGTGCGTGTGTGTGCGTGTGCGTGTGTGCATGTGTGTGCGTGTGCGTGTGTGTGTGCGTGTGTGTGTGCGTGTGCGTGTGCGTGTGTGTGTGTGTGTGTGTGTGTCAGGGTGAGACTTACCACCATGAGTCAATCTGAAATTCTGCTTAGGTAGTAAGGATAAGGCTTGAGGTAACTGGAATAAAATGGTGAGCATTCCCATTTTCAGATCTCGGGTTTTAGAGGTGTGCTGGCCTGAGAACATACCTGAAAAATGAGGGTATAATGAAAACTAATCTGCAAGACAAATGATTGGCTCCATGCAGACACTGCTATAATAATCACATGCACACCAACACACACAGTCTCACACACACATACATACACACACACATATATTTTTAAATG